GTGTTTCCATTTTGCATGTGAGCATCCCAAACTGATGTTAACAGCACAGATACAGACTATTATTCTAGAGCCCATTATTCCAAAATGCATGCAGCTGTTTCAGGCTTCTTGTCCATCATCAGTGCAATGTACAAAAGCCATGCAGTAGGGCTTTGGGACCAATGAGACGGTACACTGCACTGATGCTAGCTGAGATCTGAAATCCAATTGGCCGCAGTGGCTTGCAGCACTTTGGACAAAGCAATTGTACTTTGCATTATTTAATGGAATAAGCTCAAAAAGGAGTATCTATAGCAACTACTATTTGCATACAAAATGAAAAACTATAACCGACCACAAAGTTAAAAAGCTGTTGCTATAAATTCACAATATTACGTATAATAAACTCTTCATATTCAAATATATTCTATACATAACAAAACTATTTGCTGCATATGTATGAAATGGATATTCTTCTGAATTTCTGTATTATAACATCAAATATATAAAAAGTTTAAAAAAAAGATTATTCAGTGACGGTAGATTGATCCTTCTCACAGCCCATTATTTTTATGCAAAATCGGCCCCTCGGGTCAAATAGCGAGATGTATTATTTTAATCATGAATAAAATTAAATCTGCCGTAAGCTTCATTATCATCAAGCTTTCCCCTTCCCTGGGTATGGGAGTAGTCACGCTTCACTCAAAATATTCCTTCTAGTTTCTTCTAGATACAAAAGAGAAATGTTGTGGATGGAAAGAAAATGTATTGTCTTACATAGTGAGTTTCTTTTTCTGGGCAGCTTCAACCCCCAGGACATAGCTTTCAAAGCATGAACATTTATTGTTACTTTCTTCCATCGAAGAGGTTATAGCACTGTCTTTGTGAGCACATCTGATACCTCAATACCCAACATAAGCCATACGCAAGTAAAGCGAAGGTGAAAGGTCATGTGCCAGGGAATCGAAAGACATAGGGCCAGGTCAGATTATCAACCCTGTGATGACTTGAAAGTGATGGGCATGTAAAGAGAGCAGCGAGAAAAGTCACCTGCTCCTATGACATCACTCCCTCTCTGGCCAAAGCAACAACAGGTGTTAATCTGTCACTGCTTCCTCACTGGTGAGTGAGAATCAGCAGTGTTTTGGCCAGCAAGGGTGTAGCACCATAGGATCAGGTAAGTGCTCTCTGTAGCGATTCTGATCTTGGAGATTTGTCGTCAGTGAAGGCTCACAAGTGTGATATGGTCTATAGTTTGCTGTCCTGCAACTTTTAAGGAGCTTCAAGTCTGAAGGTTGCCTACTGATGATAAAGAAAGTTGCCCAATTCAGTCATTGGCAATTGTTTATTTCTACCCAACCATATCAGACATCTATTGCCCAAGCCTCAGTTTGGGAGCCAATTGGCCTGGTTGGATTTATCCCACCTAATCATTATCGTTTTGCTCCAAGAGACACCAGTGCTATGGATTTCTGTAGCACACTCCCCCTTCCTCTACCTTAGTCACAAGCATTCATTCACTCCCTCCCTGGCCAAACCAACAAGGTGGCGATCTATCATTGCTTCCTTGCTGGTGAGCGAGATTCTGCAGTGTTTTAGCCAGCAAAGTTCTTTGGAGCAGGTAAGTGCTCTCTTTAGGGATCCTGTTATTGGTGATTTGCCATCAGTGACAGGATCACTAGTGTGATATGGTCCATAGTTTGTTGTCTCCCAGCTTTTCAGGAGCTTCAAATCTAAAGGTTGCCTACTGATGGCAAAGAAGGTTGCTCAATTCAGCCACTTATGGTTGGATTTGGAAACATTTATATTGTATATTTCTATCCAACCATACTGTATAAAGCCTCATCCTCAGAGCCAATTGGCCTGGTTAGATTTATCCCACCTGATCACTATTGTTTTCTTCCAAGACACCGGCAATATGGATTTCTTTTGAGCAGTCCCGTTCCACTACCTTAGTCACAATCATTCATGAATCATAAGCCAAAACTTTTTTTTTTTTTAATTTTGGATAGAGCAGAGAATCGGCAAACCCAATTATTTTTTTTAACTGTGCCCCATTTGGGAAATTTCCCATTACTTCCTGTCCTTGTGTAGACACAACAGGAAGTAAGAGGAAATCTTACTAAAGAGGAGTATATGTACTCTTAGTTATCACTGGAACGAGTGTCCAGACTTGAAGATTATTCCTGTCCTGTTGACAACTTAAAATGTATTATACCTTGCTTTCAGTCCCGGTGACAATGGTTTCCAGGAAACAAAGAGAGAGAGAGTCTGCCTAGCAGGACACAGACAGCTATAATGGCCTGCCATGGGTTCTAACCCCTCACCAATCTATCCAAATCCAAAAAAGGTTTTTGCTTTAGATAGGGTAAAAAGTCACACTAAACCCAGGAGTTAAATCTCAAAAATGCATTGAAGTACCCTAAGTATTTAATTTTATTATCTGTGTATCACTCGGCTGTAGATCCTCAAGTCATCTCTGAATTGGTGCTAACACTGTTCTCCCTTCTGGAGGGTGGCTACTTTTGTTCCCCATGGTCCCTGTGTGTGTTGTAAAGTAGCCATGACTCCAATCTTGCTCCCGTGATGGACTACAGTCTCAAAATATATCAGTAAACTAAATGTGAGATTGTAGTCCATCACAGGAATGAGCTTGGAGCCATGGCTACTTTACAACACACAAAAAGGCACAAAATACCTACGGGCATGAAAGGGTTATTGACTTCTAATTAAACTGGCCCTTGATTAATACGGTTGGGGCATTGGGTTAGACAGTAATGCTCTCTAAGTCAGGTACTGTATTCTGTGAAGATATATATAGTATATGTTTATTTGTAATATATTATGCTATGCTTCACAGTGACTGACTCTGCTCATCCTCACTCAATAAAAGAGTCAGTGAAGTATTTAATAGATCTATTAATATCTGTCGGTGGAGTTTTTCTGTCTTCATCTTTGAAGACAAACCATCTGGGAGATCTCGAATCCCAGAACTATTAGAGATGCATTGGGTATAACAAAACACAGTTTCCATTAACACAGAATTTTCACACAGAGCAGTTCTTTTCCTATAGATGAATATCTCCGAAGATACATAGCAGAACATTCCTCAATAAACAGTGGAAGTCTAAGCCGTCACCTTGATACATATAACCACATCTACTCTCCTACCCCCATCTACATTATTGCAAATGTATGGTACATGCCAGAGCTTTGTGCACTTGTTCAGGCATGGTGCCAACTATGACTTCATGGCACATTCTGCAAAGGTGCGCTAATATGTTATGTTTAAATGGGATTCCAAAACTGAAAAATATGTGAAAGAAGGATCATACTATATGTATGTTTTCACTGCTTTGAACATTACTTTCTGGTTAATTCAATTGTACTACCAGTTCACTATTACAACATATACTTTGTATGCATTTTTGCTATATTTTCCACAGAAGACAAATGCTTGAGTAATGCTGGGGTTTCATTGTGTTGGAAATAAGTCTTGCATGTTGCATTTTGAGTGTGTTGAACTGCATTTTGCCACACAAGTTAATGACGTTCTTCCAAAGGCCAACGCAGAGCACCCAGTATGAAAGATGTCAATACACATCAGTGCAGCTTCTGTCAAAGAGGACCAGAACTCAAAATTTGAAGATTTGTTATATTATAGGGAACAGATAAAAATGATAATTGTGCCTAAGAAGAACTTTCAGAAATGTTTTGCCTTTAATTCTTTATAAAAAAACACAGTGCTCTTCCTGACATTGACTTTGCCTAGGCACTTCTGTTTCTGTGGCCTAATAGCTGTATATCTTCAATGTGAAATCTTCTAAGGAACTGTGCTTCTGATTGCTAGTCTCAGGAGATGTGATGGTGCCACTACTGTGCAGTTTACTGTTCTCCTTCCTGGAGAAAAAGATGCACCTGATGACCTATAGTGCAATAATCTCCCTGCTTCTGCCTAATTCATTATGTGGATTTGTGCTTCCTTCACCTCTACTACTGCTTGTTGATCATTACCCCACCAGTCATCAGGAGGGCAGCTCTGCCATGAGGAAGCAAAGTCCTTGCTCCTCTACAAAGATAAATGCCTCCCTACCGAGACACAGCTTGGAACAGAACATGATAAGGCCCCACTCACATGGGGACTTTGCTACTTTCTGGGATTCCCTGGCAAGAACATATGGGTGCTTGCGGCAGGAGTCCCAGGTGTTCCCAGATGCAGCCGCTGTACCCATCCAAGTTAATGATAGCGGTGACAGCAGCCATTACTCTGCATGTAATCATACATTGTATGATTACACGGGGCTCATGGTAGCTGATTGTCCCAGGACATAGCTATCCTGCATCCAGGTACAATCATCTATCCCAAACCACATGTAATCGTACTATGTATGACTAACAAACTTAGTCAATAATGAATCAAATATCCGCTCAAGGCAATACTGGTGACTAGTCTTTTGCTCTTCATGCTTTTTTTGGTCACAGCTTCCACAGTACAGTTTCTCTTTATCACATGTTATGCTTTGCAAAAGTCATAGCTAACGAGAAAGTATAATATATGCTTAGTGATCACATATTTAATGTTATTATTGCAATATTTACTTATTTTTTATGTGAATTTCACATTTTCAATGCTTCCATGTTTTGTTATTGCATTAAATATAGGGATTCGTGTAATAACTACTACAGGAAGCTCTCAGCCTCATTCAGCCTATGTGCTTTACAACTATTAATATACAATCAGCCACACAGGGAGTGCATTGTTTTTAATGCATTGGTCAACTCATAGGTACTCAAAAAGCAGTAAAGCACACCCTTTGTGTAGCAATGCATAGCACGAAGCAAAGCCTGCATAAGTAATAAGAAAGAGTTTTTAAAACATTAACACACATTGATAATGTTATTTAAATCATGTTACTCTCTTTTACATGTATATAAAAGAATGATTATAAAATATTTTGCCTTACCTTTGTGTGACTGTAATCTAATGTGGGAGTCAACAAATATTGTTTTCCTTAATTTAGTAAAAGGCTTGTGGTCTTGGTGTCCAATGAAGCAGCTTTTAATCCCCGACGACCGTACACGAGTGAGGATGAGGCCTGGAAGACGTATCTGGAAAATCCTTTGACAGCTGCCACAAAGGCGATGATGAGCATAAATGGAGATGAAGACAGTGCTGCTGCTCTTGGCCTTCTATATGATTATTATAAGGTAAAATGCATGTACATCTGCATTGCTGGGTTTATACTGACATGATTCCATATGTACATTCTTAAAGTGTATTTACACTTTTGCAGTCTAATTTGAGAAAACCCCTCGATATGGTATCTGTTTGCATTCACAGAGTATGCTGAAAAATATATATTTTTTAAATATTCCTTACTGTTTAGATGTTTTGTTGCAGCAGGCAACATGGCTGATTCCAGGTTTTTCTCAGCCCCTGCACAGTGATCTGTCCTTATAGAAAGACTTAACTGTAATTTGAGGATTGTGTGGTTCCCATTAACTTCATTAATATTTGAATGCAGAAGCCAGGGCTATAATCCTTTCACTCCTCACTGCCCCTCCTAACATTACAAAAGAAGGAGAAGCAAGTAGAAGTTTTAACCCTAAGAAGCCAAGTAGAAACCCTAACCCAAGAAAAAGCAATTTAAACCTCAAGAAGCATTTTTTAAATATCTTTTTAGCTAATACTATGTGAATGGGGACATGTAACAAATATAAAATAGGAATTATCACAATTTAGCTGCAAAAGTGCAAATAAATGACAATAAATAATTATCCTCCAATCTCATCCTGTTTTCAGGTGCCAAGAGATAAAAGGTCATTGCCTCTAAATAAGATAAATGAACATGTTCATGACGAGCAGGAGAAAAGGTAAAGTGAAGTACAAGAAGTATTTTTTATTTTACTTTCAGTTATGCTTTTTAGAGAAGTTTTGGTTTCTTTAATGACCATTCAGATTTATCCAATCAATTGCAGTGCATTCATGGACATGTTCAGTGGTGGAACTACCGCCGGTGCAGGTGCACCAGGGCCTCGGGCCTGTAGGGGGCCCAGCACAGTCCCAGCGCCGGATCGGTACCCAGAGCCAGCGGGCCCCCCAATTTGAATGGTCTGCCAACTCACCACCATAATTCTATAATTGAACATGCACTTTGTTTTTCCCAACACAGTGAATAGTAAGTGTGCAAAAGGGTTGAAATGAAGTGTTTTTAACATGGATCATGATTTAGTTTTGCTGGGGGATTGGTCAAAGCAGTGAAAACTGCAAGTAAATGTTTCCAAATGCAAAATAATGCATATAGGGAAAAAGAATAATCTGCTAGAGGAAAAAGATTTGGGGTGCTTTTTCAGATGATTGCAAAATGGGCAAACAGTGTGGCCTGGTAGTATGGGAAGCAAACAGAATTCTGGGGTGCATCAATCACCAGCAGAAGGAAGGAGGTCTGGATTCCTCTAAATAAGCCAATAAATAATAATAATGGTGGAGGGGGCAGGCACAGATGGCTCTGTCTCTAGATAGGCAGAGCCTGCTGTCAATCAGCCAGTTAGGAGGATCTCAACACTATTGTTGGGATCTGTCCCGGCTGCGGCTGCTCGCTATATACTGAGCTTTGGGTCACGGGAGGAGGTTAGTATATGTCCTCCCATGATCCTAAAGAGAATTATGGGATAAAAAGGTTACCCCATAGTTTTCTTTTAAGCAGTGACTGCAGTCACTATTCGACCAAGATTTTTTGGACCCTTGACAGAAGTTGATTGAAAAATCGACTTTTGTAGAACGGAGGATTGGGGTTCTTATGGGGCCACACACTGGTCAATTCCTGCTGACTTGGCCGAGGGTCAACTAGTTTATGGCCAGCATTAGATAGACCTAATTTAGAACACTGTGTCCGTTTCTGGAGACCTCATTTACCAATATAAATGAAGTCCAGAAATGGGAAACAAAAATGGTGAAAGGTCTTGAGGAAAGAAGGAAAAGGGAGAAATAAAAAAAAGTGGTGGACTTGGTGGATCACTTGGTTGTTTTCTGCCATCACTCTTCAATTTTTTTATGTTTCCTTATTTAAAATTTGAAAATGCCCCTTTTTCTTACAACTGAGCCCACCACAAAACATGACAGTGGCGCATCGCAATGCAGGTGCATTGAGGGTGCATTCCTTTAATGTGTTGCTGTGCTCTTGGAAATGTATGGCACCAGCACACACTATAGCGTGCAGGGTGCAGTACTTCAATGCATGAGTGAGAATGGTCCCTTATACCCTATAACCTTCTGGGTTATACTTTCTATACATAACCCGAGGTAAATCTAACAATCAGGGGTGTCCCTACACTTTTCACCACCTGAGCCGGGAGTGGAGGGTTGTTATTGGGTGCTGGCCCTGCATGTTCCAAAAAGGGGGACTGCAGAGTGGGTGTTGGTGGCAGTGCACATTACCGGGAGGGTGCTTCTGGTGCACGTCAGGGGTGGGGAGGCAGGGCTAGTCGGGTGGTGGTGGCGTTGATACATATTACCTTGGGGGGTGCTGATGTACCTCTGGCTCTGCCTCTGTCTGGCGTCCCAGCCAGACCTTCCTGCTCGGCTCCTGCCAACCTGTGATGTCAGTAAGCTGGGCTGGATGCTGGCCAGAGTGTCTCAGGTTGCTAAGAGCTCTTAGCAACCTGGGACGCCCTGGCCGGAAAGGGAACAGCAGGCACACCTGCAACCCCCCTACATGACCCAATGAGATGCCACCTGAGGCAACCACCTTAGGCTGTCTCATTTTAGGGACGGCCCTGCTAACAATAGCACATATAATTCAGCACATAAGTGAATGAGAAATTAAATATCTGCAGGAGAAGAAAAAGGGGATGTGAGATAAGGAGTAATTTGCTATTTATGTTCAGAATTATCACTGTGCCCGCTGCCCTTATAAAGGTCGGCTGTGCCCACCAAAATGTCAGTCAGCAAATAAATAATTTGCTTTAGAAATAATTTAACTTTACTCTGTCTCCTTAAAAGAACTCGGAGTGCCCTATTACAGATACTTGATATATAGGATAATGTAGATGGGGTTTGAACTCATGGCCCCATCTGTCCTCATATAAAAGGGTCATTCCTTTTTGGCCACAGTTGATAAAATATCTGATTTTTCTTTGCGCCTCGTTTCCGGTTAAAGATGACACATCTTGTGATGCCGTGCATGTATAACCCATATGAATGAAAATCTCATCGCCATTTAAACTGAATTCAGTTTCAGATATATCTTGGCTTATATGGTAGTAACAGTGGCCAGAGTGAGCATGAAATAATTTCACTTGTTAGAACCAAAATGATGAAATGTGACTTTACAACGGATATGATAATTGTCTGTTAATGTCTTCCTATCGTTCTTTACTAATGATAAGGGGAATCATAAAACAACTGAAGGCTTTCTGCTACTCCAAGATAAGAGACTGTATTGTGATATCTGGCATGCTGCATGTGATGCTACTGGAACAAATAATGATATATACCCTTGTGTGGATTAGATCGCATTTAAAGCTGTACTGCTATTGGATAATTGGTCGTATTTACGTGGTCCTTTATCCCCTTTGGCTAGAAAACCACACCGGAAAACAGCTTGGCTGCTCATGTGACATCATTTTACATTCATGAGTTGAACAAACATATATTGATTTTACTTGCAATTTCTTGTTTTCTACTTCCTGGCTCTTTGGCAAAAGTGATGTAATGTGCCCAAGCATTGCATTCTGAGAAGGTTACATCAGCAGAGCATTGCTGGGAAATCTCATCTGTAATCTCATGAAATCTCAGGGAAAGGCATTTGTCCTAGTCACATCTCCTATTCACATGTGTCAGAGATCCAGGAAGCAAAGGGAGATGAATTCATCTGCTCTTAGTGAAAATGGCCACTGTGAGAAGAATAGGGAGGAAAATAAAAGTAAAATATGCAAAGAATAAAAAGCCGGCAATTATCTAGACGTATCTGTTTGTAGATTGTCATTACTAAACATTTCTAAAAGTGTCTTTGTTGTTATTTTGAAGATATGGGTAAAGTTCCTCTCTAAAAAGATACTTTAGAGCAGTTCAGTAAGTGCACATTTCAACTATTATTGTAGAATTTACATGGAAATAATTTTTATTGTGACTTTCAGATTTTTATATATACAGTATATATTTTTATTTTCATTATGGTATTTCCAGGAATGGCATTCAGAATTCTGAATCTTCAGGTAACCTGAGCACTGGAGAGAACAGGGTGCAAGTTCTGAAGACACTTCCGGTGAACCTTTCCCTGAACACAGAGACTGTAGAGCCTTCCAAAAGAGAACAGTATAACAGCAACTTATCAAACAGTCCCACTGCCCCCACTTCCTCTGGCGCCGTGGTAAAAGCAGAGGAGTTCACACCAGTATTTATGTCACCCTCCATGCCTTACAGAGGAGACAATGAGGAACCCAGGAGTGTGATTTTTGAGCAGAGTCATTACGGAGGACACATCAGCCAACATACAGACTACCTCAAAGACGATCAGCGGAGTACTCCAGACAGCACGTACAATGAAAGCTTCAAGGAAACTGAAGTAAGTATTGGAATGATAGTAGTATATGTTGAACGTTCTGTAGTACCTGAATAGATCACTAAAACAAAAGGGGGGGGGGGGGGGG